TTTACAAGCAAAATCTAGCCACAGAACAAAATGATTAGATATTTGGTCAGCATGACCAAGCTGGCCCCACGCCATCACCTTGCTGCCAGCACTGAAGATCTCGAGTTTTTAGGATAACCCTTGTAAGAGAACTCAAGAGTTGGCTTTATAAAATTAAAAATGTACAAAGTTTACAAAGCTTTCAATAATTTAATTCATGAGAGATTTTAAGCTAGAACCAGTTAAGCTGTTTCTAAATTTCTGATCCACAGAAACTGTGTAAGATAATAAATGTCGATTAAATTTTGAGATAATTCATTAGGTAGTAATTGATAACTAATCTCTCTTATGACTCAGTCTGACAGTTTTCACCACTGACAAAGGCAATGAGATGTATTATATAAACTGCATACATCAATATAATTACATTTTCTTCATTTTATACACAGTATACAGGAAAATAAAAACAAGTACATTAACAAATTTCTTCAGATACTATAAATGCCGAGTAAAGACTGCTACTCAAATTTTCCAATTTGTCCCAACTTTTATGAAGAACTGTTCTTCCTCTCAAAGAAGCCACAATAAAATACACCCGCTTCCCAAACCCTGTGATACGATATAGAAGAAAAACACAGAAAAAGGTTAGCCTAGGACATTGCTAGGCTTGCGACACTATAAATTGTGAATGCAAGTATTCTAAGGAATATATCTGAATATTTCCATACTTGAGGGAATTCTAGAAAACTGACCAGGGTTCACTTTTAGACCAATTCTGGATCCTCTGGCAAACCGCGGCATATTGCCTACTAGTGGATTTTTCTCAAATTATAAGTCAATACAAGTAGTTTCCCATCACACAACAAAGGAAAAAGTATGACATTTCATAAAAACAGAGGTTCTTATTAGTAAATGTCTGATAGAATTGTATAGCTTATATAGGTGACACTTAGTGTTCATTTTCATATGAAAACTGGTAAGAACGCTAGTATGGAATCGCTTTTTTTAAAGTCACCTACCCTTAAGAGGATCATGTTCTGCTCTCATAATATCAATAAGAGAATTTTCCAAAGAGTGCATATTCAAACTGTCATACATCCTACTTCGGTCCTGGAAGAGAAGGGAAAAGAAATCCTATAAATTTAATTCAAAAGGCAATTATAAAAATACTATCTAAATTCTCTTCATAAAATAGGTTATCTGATTAATACAGTATTACTAATCAATTTGCATCCCAAGAAATACCAGTAACTAAGGACTGCATGAACTGCAATGTCGTTTATATCAGAGGACAGTATTTTTTAATACATTTATCTCCAAAATCTTAAACACAACCTAATTTTATTGGCAGTTTAATGCAACACAGCAAAATAATTCCTATTGTTATCATTCCCTATAAAGATTCCTGAAATGTTCATAAACACAGACAGCAGCTTTAGTTTATTTAACTTATAAACTTTTCTCACATCTCTAGGAAGACAAACACTGGCATCTGGAAAATAAGTATTTGGGGGCAAATAATTTAACTCCATAATTGCACCATACTTTAAACATCTATCAAACATTTCATGTTATTTGACTTGCAGGTTGAATTTCATATAATGAATGTATAAGCATCTTATACTATAAAAATCAAAAGCATGAGATACTAGTGTGAGAATAAAGGTTGATGCCTAGAATATTTATATTCAAATCTCACCCTCCCATATTTGTTTCTGCATTTCTAAACCATCTCTCCGCCCAATCCTCTGCAAATCAGACAGGCGGGGAGGCAATGGTTAAAGTACACTCTCTCTTCTCACTACGTTTCCTACTTCACCAAGTCTCTGAAGCCTGGTGTCCTCCTGAGTCTTATCTGCTGAATGTTCAATCTCTCTGCTTGCTTACCAGAAGAAATTTTAATCGGTTAATGCCCAGGAATTTATATTGCGTTTCATTCAAAAAATACTCAGTGTACGTGAAAATATATATATGGAGGACTGTTGTAAACTCTGACCTATGCCCTCGTAAAAACCCGGGAGTTTCTCCTACAACAGTGGTTCTCAACCTTCCTAATGCCGCAACCCTTTAATACAGTTCCTGTAGGTCGCGACCCACAGGTTGGGAAATGCTGTCCTACAATACTTGCCCATCCATTTAACTGTGCTTGTGAGTGCATGCACACGCGCAAGGTGTGTATGCGGGAGGAGGTAGGCCAGGCCATTTAAATAAAAAAAAAGACTACCCACAGAAAATGGAAAGAGAAAAGTCATCACGTAAAGTGAGGAACAGAGTCTCCGCGAGTATCTACAAGCAAGTGTACAGGTGGGTGCACAGCAGCACCTGTATCTCATGGTTTCAGTGATCTGTGGTGGACTGCGGTAAGATATTCAGAGAGCAGCTTATGTAACTTTGATTATAGTATAATTAGTTACAACTTTTTATTTTATTATTAGTTACTGTTGTTGATCACTTATTGCATCTAATTTATAAATTAAATTTTATCATAGGTAGGAAGTCACAGGTAGGTATCATAGGTATAGGAATAAACATAGTTTATATAATTTGGGAATATCCAGTTTCAGGCATCCACTGAAGGTCCTGGCACACATCTCTCATAAATGGGGGCGGGGAGGGACTACTGTTCATATAATTCTTTTCTGAAGTTACAGCTTTCATCAGTTCTCCTAGGGGTCCACAATCCAAAGGAGGTTCAGAACCAGTTCTTCAGAAAGCTGAGGAAAAACATAAGAAGCTTTCCTAAGAATAAGTTTACTTAATTTACTTTAGACTTTGATGTTTAAAGGGTTGTAAAAGCTATAGGGGCCAGATGAGTACTGCAGACTAAACAAATTGCTGTCAAGGAATTAAAAAGGGTAAAAAGTAACAATGAATGAAAGAAGAATGTTGGACTGGAGGCTCTTCCTCCAGCTTTCCCACCAATTAACTCTACCAGTACCCTCACTAACTGTTACTGACTCCACCCTGCCCCCAGTAAAACCACCCATCAATAACAGCTGTTCACTTGGACAGTGACCTTGGCTGCTGAAGGAGACGAAAAGAATGAGCTGTAACAGTAGCTCCCAAGCTTCAGCATGCCTTGGAATCATCTGGAAGGCTGGTTAAACACACAGACTGCTCACGCATTAACAGAATTTGATTCAGTGGGTTTGGAGTGGTACCTGAGAACTGTATTTCTGACAAGTTCCCAGGTGGTATGATGCTGCTGGCCTGGAGATCACACTTTAACAAGCATAGAGTTTCTTGAACTTAAGTCACTAAGCCTCATTAGGCTTCGGTTCCAACTTCTAGAAAATAATCATGTGATACTAGACGATGCTTAAAATCCCTTTAAAAACTAAAGAAAAAAAAAAGACTCAAAGTACCATTACAATAATTGAAAAAGCTGTAATAAAGGATGGTTTGGTCAGAAATGACATACAATATTAGTGATCTATCCAAATAGTTCCACTGTCTGATTCTGTACAGTGTTCATAGCTAGAGTTGTTGATTTTCCTGTGTCTCCCACTAAGCTTCTAAGTTAATTAAGGCTAGGGACCCCCTAATTACAGAAAACAGCCAGCTTTCAAATGTCTGTTGAAGCAAATGCTACTTTCTCTCTATCATAAAAACTTTACACACGTATCAGTTGAGTTCTGTGGGAGCAAAGACTGTACTTTTTAAATGGTAATTATAAAGGACTATGAATCTTTCTCAGAGTCCTCTATGGAACAGGTAGTCAAATGTTAATCGACTAAACTAGGTCAAGAATCACACACTAATGTGGCCTTGCTACCAATCTGAACTTCCAACCACCCAATGGAAGATTAAATACTATTATATACAAAGTTTCTGGATATATTTAAAATAGAATTACAAAACATAAGCTCTCGTGATAAAAATTAATGTTCACAGAACTAAGCAAACCCCTCAGAAGGCAGGCTGCACCACGTAGGTTCTAGGAGTACTTTTAAATACTTTAAAATATTTGATAGCATACCCTAAATCTTTGCAAAGAAAATGTTACAGTCCATGGATACCTTTGTAGGGTGATGATAATGAACAGAATCAACCTATGACCTAAAGATGGTGATTATTAAACCACCCAAATGATATTTCCCAAGTAACATCCTTTTTCTGAGGTACAGGGGTCTGTACCCTCCATCT